AAACAGTTGTTTGTGTAAATGATCATTATGCGTAAAAGTTAGTATTTTTACGTAAACATTGACGTACGTAAAAAGGTACGTAACATTATRYAACATCAAACAGTRTGTGTTTTTAGGAATTTGTTACAGTACTGTTTTGACATTGAAAATGATAATTCCCAGGATTCAGTTCGYGCTCCACCGGATGGCAAACCAATTCTACAAACTGCCGCCACCATGATGGAAAATAGACCGCAGCCACGTGTTCCGTCACCGCCCTTATCACCRCCACCGAGTCCAGACCGATCATTACGATCACCATTGGTGAGGGAGACAAAGACKACGGGATCACAAACTGATCTTACYGGTAMGAGTTAAGCTAATATTTCTTTTATTTACGTATTAATCATTCAGTTAATCAATCAACCAGCAATCAATCAATGATGTCAACATCGTGTGACGTGCAGCAAAGGATCATGTTAGTTGTAGTCCTCGTACTTTTATGTCCAAAAAACATTCTCTTTAGTGGTTTTTATTTTTTGTAACCGAAAGTTGACGTATTTATGCCGTTTCTAAAAAGAAAATACAAAAACGGCTTTTAAGGAATTATTTTAGGACTATGAAAAAGTGCGAGGACTACAGCTACCATCGTGCCTTGCTACACAAAATGGCGACGATGCACATTGCCTATTCATATGGATATGCAACGTCTGACCCAGTTCTTAAACTTGTTACAGGTTCAAATCCTGATGAGCCAAAGTTAATTAGTCTATGGAGAAGGAAGCTATCACCAAGTTCACCTGATGAAACCGCTCTTCTTGATATCAGCGGTATCAACACTTCTTTAAACARCAGCCATTTTGTAGAGGGAGTAGGGCTACATGTCCGGTAAGAATAGCGTATGTATACAGTCAACTCTCGCTATTACGGACACCCTCGGGACCGTAATTTAGTGTCCGCAGTAGCGAGAGTCCGTGGTTACGAGAGTTAGTTTCAATCATTTCTTTGTATTTTTCGCCGCGGATTCAGTATTTTGCTTCCCGCAATATCGAGGTGTTCGTAAGGCTAGACTGTATTCACTGTAAAACGTGACCTCTCTTAAACAGTAAACCTCTATAAAGCGGTCACCTGGTCTTTTCCCAAGGTATACGCTTAATAGGGGCTTCGATTGTATTGGAATTTTCTGTGATTATTACACAATTGGAAATGCAACTGTAATCCCGCTCGAATTTCTTTTTATAATCAAGCACTATAAGGCAAAAAGTGCTAAATGAGAGTTCAAGTTAAAGCGAGCTATGAATTTAAGAAAAAAGTGAAGTTATTTGATAACTTTCGGCATAAAAACYATTACAAACTGAATAATTAAAAAATTACGATAAAAACTACATTATTCCTATACAAATAAGATATGGTATGCTGACCTTAAAATGTTAATGGTTGACGTTATGGAGTGATAGCTCCTAAATCATGACACAAAACACCACCAAGAACATTATTACAACATTTTTAGCTATGGATTAAATGGCAAATCAGGTTTAAAATCTAGCAAAATAGTTAACTTTTGCGCTTTCTGTTCAGTCGTTAAAAGTAATATCACTCTCCTATAGACAGCTCTTTTTGAACTTTCGTGAGAGCCTCCAATCTTTTCATGAAAGTCTCCACGAACTCAGCATCTTCATCTAGTAGCTCTTTGGCTTTTTTTGTGTCGCTACCAAGCGAYTTGCTCACTTCATACARCGTTGTCTGAGGGTTGACATTGATRGCATTAAGCACTCCAACCTGTGCAACATAACAGAACATGTTTTGACCATGTGCTTTGAGCCCTTCTGAAGAGAAGTGGTACTGGTAGAAATACAAGTCAATGCGAAGAAGGGCATTCCGGTCATAAACAACGTGRAATTCCGTGTTTTCGCTYTTTCCTGCWTCGGCGCTTCCCAAAAAAGTATCCAAAAGTGCRGTAACACTTTTCTTGAAGCCGTTCATGAACTTTCCATCAAATAAATTGTCAACCATTTCGTCGACTTTATCGCTGACGCCGCTTGTTGCATCCATGCTAGTGAACTTTTGGGTGTCAACTACTGCTACTATGGGCAAGGTCTTGTCTTCATAAGCTTGTGCTGACATTCTTTGAGACTCGGCTTCTAGGACAGTGTGCGCCATTTCCTGGAGAATCTCAAGTTGTTCCTTRACTTCTGCACTAGAATCACCCGTAAGATCACTGAAAGCTTTACCCATGTTGATGTAYCCCAAGCTCTACCGATCTGTGATCGACACCGTATGAGATCAACGTAAAAATGATGCTTTCGTTGTGGTTGAGTGTTGGCCTTTTATAGATCGTTAGTTACGCCTTCCTGTCTCTGATTTGATGACATTAAGATTTCAGTATGATCTAACTTTATAGTATTTAAATATTGGAGTGCTTGGGCGCACCTATTTTGTAGACATCCGACCGTTTATTTTAGGAAAGTCTTAGCACACACAAAAAAGCACTTCTACTTCCTGCTTTCATTTCGTAGTTAAAGGATGTCTAGAGGGTAGTGCGAACAATGTAACCGCTAAATCTTGCTGAATTACTTAACATGTAAATAAGTATTAGTAAAACCAACGAAATCAGAAGAATCTAGTAGCACAAAGTAGTGCAAAAGAGTATGAATAATGAATTCAATGCTGTCGTGTTGTAGATTTTTCATATATGGAAAATGAAGTTTTCAAATAACCATTCCCAATCCTCTTCCATCTTAAAGATGAATCCTTACAATATMTTCATTCGTGTTAGTCTGAAGACACAGGCCCGTCTGAAAATCAGGATACATTCATAATGGTTTTCGAGGGTGTGGTCATTAATGTCGTCAGTGACGTCATCGACTGTACAAAATCTATGCCAAAATATTTGAGAATATTTATCAGAATTTAACAAAAAATATTAAAACCATTTTGACCAAGCCACCTAGATATATGTTCGTTCAAATTTTAATTCTGAATTTTTATATAGGAATTGCCCTCCAACACTCTTGAATTGTGATTTTTTATTTTATTTATTTATTTTTTATACAGGCCTCCACCAAACGAAAAAGAAATTGAGGTAATTTCATCCTGTGTTTTGAAATTTGCTGTATATTTGTAATTCATGATTTTCTCTTTTATGACTGCATCGTGTTTATATATTTTACTAGAAACAGTTCCGAACCTTGGTTCTTGCTTTTCAAACCGACCAACTGACGYTGAACAAACGACTTGAAATTCAGGTAAATGATTGTACATCCGCTTCCAGTTTAGTCTCCTCCCCTTTTGTCGGGCTTCCTGTCCATCCAGGGACAGGAAACCCGTCAAAAAGGGAGGCTGCGAAGGAGACTACTTCCAGTTTTGATCTTGTGTTTTTATTGCGTTTATACATACATCAGGAGTTTCGGAGAACAATGCGTCCGCCATCTTGAAAAGTGAGACTCAGATCACTAAATTATAACTCCTAAAGAAATTAAAAAGTTCTAAGTTAATTTAAATTTAATATAATATACATTATGATGATAGATTAGTTGACTAAGCAGCTATGAAATTTGTTCTAAGGCAAAACAGTGATTCAGGGCCCACTTTTCAAGATGGCGGACACATTCTCTGAAATTCCTGATGCATGTATTGTCTGTGTGAATAATTTCAGACGAGAAGTAGAGAGATTGCTGAGAGAAATATGGATCGCGAACTGGAAAACCTATCAACGCAAATGAAGGTACGAACAAACATTCTCTTATCTTTAATTCCATTGTTTCAATAATGATTAGATAATTATTTTGAAGGGGAGTGGTCAACCGACATTCAATGCGGTCGTGTTTTAGATTTTAATATACGGAAAATGAGGTTTAAATAATGTCTGTTAAAATAATCTTCATTAGTGAAAATGAAAAGCAAAGGATTTAATATAATTTAGGTCATTTATTATTATTATTACATTATAAGGTTACTATTTTTGGTTCACGGATTTTAATAGTTCGTTTAATATGAGTACGCTTCTTAGAGTACAAACATTAAATGTGTGCAACACTTTCCACTATTTACTACAAAATAGCGTTAATTAAACAATAGAAWACAATAGAATTGGCATAATTTAGCAGTGTTTAGTGGTATTTATTTAGCACAGTTTTAGTGTCTGTACTCTAGCTTGTCTAATTTATATCTTTCTCAGAATCTCGAGGAAAAGTATATGAAAACGAAAGAACTGCAGGTGAAATTCCTTTTCCTTTACTCCCTTCCATTACGTTTTACTTCTTTTCTTCCTACCGTTCTTGCGGAATCACTGAATATAGTAATCATAACCGATTCTGCGGGTATCATTTCTAGCAAGCTGCAGCAAGTCTAAAGGCCCAAGTTGAAGTTTTACGTCGATCAACGCATCGGTTAGGGATTGTAGCTCAACAACATGGTAGCGTTCAACAGGTATCAATAGCCCTCTGAAGCTTTGACGTCATGTACCGTATACGCAATGCATTGTAAGATATGTTTGGGACATTGTGGTTGAACGCACAATACATTGAAAGTCAAGATTAGTGACGCAAAAGGTTCAGGGGTCAATTTTCTGCTTAAAATAAAATATATTGTGAGGTGAGATGAGCGTGGAGGACGTTAATATAGGGATTTCTTGAACGACTACGTGCTGTGTTCTGAGTGAATTTATTCTATACACCCTTTTAATAAGTCCCAAGGTATTGTGTTCTCCGCACTTGACGTCAAATTTATTCTTTTGAATTCCTTTTGTATTGTCAAAATTTCAAAAGAATAAATTTGACGTCAAGTGCGGAAAAATCAATATCTGGGGACTTATTAAAAGGGTGTATAGGATCAACAGTATGCGAGGTTCTGAGATCGTAGGATCTAAGGGGGGGCGGTTAGGGTGGCTAGTCACCCCCATTTAAAATTTCAAACTTTGAATTATAGAGATAGAAATCACAAAATAAGTAAATAAAACAAGAAATGAAATCTGGACGGGACTCGTTCTGAATAAGCGGGAAAGCGGAAGCACCGTTCACCTAAAAGGAAATTCACTATATCTATTTAAAAGACTTCCTCTTGGGTTAGACACCTCCTTCTATGATGCTCTGAATCTTCCATTGTATTCGTGCCATGCTCTCATACCCCTCAAATCTTTAGGAATCGCGTATGTGGTCTGGGATCGAGGTGATGATCTGCCATGCCGAAAATTTGAACAGACATCTCGAGAAAGTGAAACTAGATCTTAATGAATACAGGTTAGTTTAGTTGTTCATTCTCCCATTCATTTTTCATCCTTTCCCATAGTTATTGATTGATTGATCGTGCAGGAAGGATGGAAAAAGATGAATTACGCATCAATCAATTGAGGTACCGGCCCTTCCCTCGGTATTGACCGTTGTGGGGTGGGGTGGGGAGGACAGTATGGTTTCAGTTGACTTATGTAAGGGCTGTAAGGGTGCTTTCCATTAAAGCAGAATTGGCCGGCCAGTCCACTCTATTTAGAGGTATATAATGCTTTTTGTCAACATTTTTCAGTCATTTCAAGGTTTTCTGTAGAATAATAGATAGAATTTGAAAATTTGAATTTCCTAACTAAATGGGAATGATATATAATGACATTTTCTCTGGGTATTACCAGCCAGTTCTGACAAATGGAAWGCGCACTAATCTATTTATATATTCGTCCGTTCCTTCATTTACTAATATGATATTTCACTGGACAACTAACATGTACTGTTTTCTCATGTGTCTTAACTTTTCTAAAGAAACAAGGAACAGCTGCACTCWGAAGACTCTGACAGTATAGACTCCAGACCTCCACAGACCGCTAATGGCCCGACAAGACTGGGTACGACCAATTTAATATTGTATAGCTTCCAATAGACGGCTTTTCTGAGATAGCAGCTTGCATTGCATTGTGGTCATGCTGCCAAATATGGCGTTGTTTGTACTGAATCTATACCACAATGCACCATGATTTTGTATTTCAGAAAAGGTCTATAGCTGTACCTTCTGTTTGCTCGCTTGTTGACTGGACTGTATATATAGCGGGTAGCCTGAGTGTTACTCCGTCMCAATCCCMTTYKAGAGAGATTGATAACCAGCGTGATGTAGATGCTCTGGGTGGTAAACGTCTTTCATTATTTTATTAGGTGTTTATGAYGAGGAGTTTAAAGAAACAGATCAGGTGAGAATCCTACAATTCTTCCTAAAAAGTACAGTGAAACCTCTATTAACCGGTCACCTTGCGGAGAAAAGACCAGATGRCCGCATAATAGAGGTTGGCCGTTTAATAGAGGTTATGTTTTACAGTAGATATACATAAGAACCAATTTTTGGGGGTATTCATAAGTGACCGTTTTTTTAACAAAAAAAATAGATAATAACCTTACTGAGGATTCTAGACAAGCTTGCATCGACTTCAAAATACGCGGTATTTTTTAAATAGCCTAGTATGTGTAAACGCTGCCTTACATTTCGTTTCACTGGTCTAACATTTTCGACGTAATATACAGCTTTTTCAAAAAAAAGTTGTTGGGGAGAACAACGAACAGCGATTGTCGAAGGGAGATTGCACGCTCGAAGGGGACTATGGTTACAGTGTTTTGATAAACAAAATTTCACTAATTGGATTCGTTTTACATAGAATGGAGACTAAATGGGGCTAATGTTTACCACAGATCATCTTACAGTGCAAATCAGTTGTTATTTCCTTTCAACTAGCAAAACCCATGGTTACTTTCGGTCGTGCAATCGCCGTTCGACCATTGACACTTGCCATTTTATCCGACAAGCTTTTTTGAAATAGCTATATACAGTTTTTACATATCTACTCTCTTCTTCATAGCGTGACAGCAACGATAACACCAACAGTTTGGTCAACTTTGTCATGGCAATACACAATACCTCACAAAGRGCCAAACAAGTTTTAACGAACTTTAGACGTCAAACTATAGACATGTCCTCTTTCTACTCATCACGGGATCGTTCTGAGGACTCTAGACAAGAAAGCGTGGATGAASCATCCGAGGAGGAGAATGGGGAGAGGGACTCGGACGCGTCAGGGACATCTGGGAACATCACAGATGAGGACGATGCTGAGTACGTGTCGAGACGTCAAGAAGAAGAAAGGTCAGTCGTTTTTTTTCTCACCACTGTTTCCTTTAAAATAAGTGCCTTAAGAATTTAGGCACAAATTCCTTGCAAAGAGGAAAAACTTGTCTTAAAGTTGAATATATGGGAAAAGAAAAAAATGCGTATCAATACATCAGTAAAGGAAATATGACAAAACTTGGCATTCGCATCTCAAGTCAGTGTCAACATGCCTTTTTATCATTTTTTGGAAGTTTGATTATAAAATCATTATAAAGTTCGCGTTCAATTACATGCGTCGAAAATCGCCTTTTAGAATTATCCTCTTCAGTTCGTACTCCTTCGTCCCCCTACGTTACCAGTATACACCTTAGTGTACAACTTTGTAGAAACGGCTGTGTTTCTTTATAGAGGCACTTCCTAAATCGCCGATCCAAAGTCCGAATAGACAAACATATTTATATTGAGTTTATGCGGTCAGACGGTCCGATAATCGTAACCAGGACTCTCACCCAAAGTCCGAGTCATATACCCTTATTTTTTCTTCGTTTAAGGTTTAGCCCGACTTAACGCTCTCACAAGCTCACAGCCCCGAGTTAACAGCCCATTCTTTAAATTTTGACTTTGAAAACTCTTAAGCTTGAATCGAAATTATTCAGCTTGCGATAAGCTATAGCACGACTGTACGCTCACCCAAGCGCTCAGACCCGAGTTAACAGCCCCTGGGGTTCCGAGGATGGCTTGACATCTGAGGACTTACACATAGTTATCTTTCTACAGGGTCCGTAAACCAAGTATATGTCGTCGAGTCTGCAGTGYGTGTTTTCGTTTCGTTATGTCTGTAATTCTCCTCATCGCGTTGTCTATAGCAACCGTCATCTTTCTAAACCATAACACAAGCTATAAACTCCAACGCGATCACCTTCCTAAGGCTCTTCTTGAAATACTGGACCCTATTGCTACTCTCGTCCATAATCGTAGRCCTCCATCTTAGAAATGTTTGTAATGTACTTTCTAGTACATATTGTGGTCACACAGGAAGCMCGAGTTAGATGTAWATATTMTACACAGGGATCCTGAATGTAAACTGTACTGTATTTGGGTTGACTTAGAAGGATCTTAGATCTTCATGAGTCTTCACACTATGTTGACAGTTTTTGTATTTATAAATCACAGGAAAGCCAATTGTATTGAAGTATTTAGATCTGTTCTGGTCTTGTATATATTGCGCAAAAAACTAAGTGCTGTTCGATCAGCACGACAGAAACCTCATTAAAGCGGGCAGCTTTAAATAACCGGTATTTTATTCGTACTAAGGAGGTCAGGTATAGAATGTGCAGAGTATTTTTATCACTTATCAGCGTTAAGAACAAACCTCTGTAGAGAGGGCAACATTGGATATCCAACGTCAGTGTACCTTTTCTGTTTACTACTTTCAAAATGGTCGACGCTCGGAAGCGACGCCATTTTGAAAAAAAAATGGAGCCGAGAGTGCCTGGGGACAAGGTTGTGATAACTTGCAAATCGTGGTACGTTGTGAAACCCGCGAAAGCAGGTCACTTTAGGTTTTCAAAAACCATTCAAAAACCATTGCAAAACTTGGAATATTTTCATAAAATATCAATAATTGACTTGACCTTTGAGACTTTGATAAAGAATGCTTCTTGAGAATTACCCAGAAGAATTTGGTGTACGCTAAATTTTTGTATTTACGAATATTTCGCAATGTATACCTCGTTAAAACGGGCAGCGTTAGATCGACATGTACGAAATAGCGAGGTTTTGGTACGTTTTTTTAGAACTGGACGCGTTTAAGCGGGCACCAGGATTTATTGTGTTGTCCAGTCTTATTGAGGATATCATCTCGAAACATTATATATTCTTTTCGTTAAAATGTCAATAATGATTGGGCGGATATTTTCACGACCTAAGCACGGAAACACATTAATATATTCACACAAAATGGGTGATATTGCAAGCATTAGTACAGTATAATATTGCCTTTGAGTATAATAAGGATGTACTCTTGCTGTAAAGGTATAAATAGAGCTTTTATAGTATAAACGTGATATCCTATATTTTGGAAAGATATTTAATTTATCCAGCTTTTTGCTAATTAGAACAAAAATAAAATGATTCAGGAAATGTTTATGTATGCAAACTGGGAATGTGAACGTCTGGGTACTTTATGCGCTTTGCATACTTCGTGCCTTTTTTAGATAAAAACTAACCTGAAACTGTTTCAGTTTGTATAAAAAAACATCTCGATAGTATCTATTGAAAAAGATCAAGTAGTTCTAATAAAATGTAAATTATTTATAGTATACTATTTAATAATTAATAATACATTTGTGATTAATGTTTTTCAACTAGTCATTGAATAAATGAAATGCATTTTTATTTTTTTTGTTATTTTCTTCTGTGAGTATTTTATTATTGATACTGTTATTCAACACCAACAAGCCATCCTCGGGAAAACAGGGAAAATCAACAGTGTCGTTCGTGGTGGGTTCCCGGGTTTGCGCAACAAGCGCACTTTTTTGGCTCGTTTCTATTTAATTTGCCATGTTTTCGTTGCCGATAAGTCGCTGAAGTGGTCCGACTGACACTGAGAAGAAACGTACCTCACTTTGTAAGTCTCAAACAGTGTCTGAAAGAATTCGTAAAAATGCTATACAAATATAATGCATGAT